ATAAATCAAAATCAAATATAGTTAGCAATTAGTACTGAAATTAACTTATTTATACTGTTAGAACTCAATGGAAGCCTTAATTCATCATTTCAAATTATTTACCCAAGGTTATCAAGTACCACCAGGTGCTACATATACTGCTATTGAAGCACCCAAGGGTAACATAAAAATATTTGTGTTTTTCTTTATATCTTAATAACCATTAATCTTATTTTATAGGTGAATTTGGTGTCTATTTAGTTTCTGATGGAACTTCTAAACCATATAGATGTAAGATCAAAGCACCTGGATTTGCACATCTTGCTGCATTAGAGAAGATAGGAAAGAAACACTTCCTTGCTGATATTGTCGCTATTATTGGTAATTATTGTTTTTAAGTATTGAATAGTGCCTCATTTACATTCAATATTTGTGTTTTTAGGAACACTTGACGTTGTCTTTGGTGAAATTGATCGTTGAGTATTTGTACTGGTGTTTGTTGGTAAGTAAATATTTGTTCATATTTGAAGCTAAGTAATTTAATGTAATRTAATTTGTTATTCAATAATAATTATTTAAAATAAATTATATTAAGCGTAGGTACACGCATTTTATTGATTTTAAAGTTATTGTATTGTCTAGATTACCCAATATATTATACTAAATCGTGTAAGATTAAATATTTAAATTTAACATTTGACTGTTATCCAAGCGATCTAGAAAATTATTTCGATAAAATATTGTATTCTATGAATATTAAATAGTATTCTTTACTCATTATATACATATTATATTATTATACTTGATAGAAAATARTTAAATCATCCCTTGTTACTATTTAATGACCCATGGTTATAAATATTTCAACTCATTTTCTTTTTCTCAACAAATGTTCTCAGAAAATAACAAAAACCATAATGATTAAATATTTTTTTTTATATTACATTTTTAAATAGTAATAATTTGTAATAATTTATTTTTTTAAATACAAATTCTTTTTGAAGATTAAAACAAATTGTGTAAATTATTAAATTTTAATTTTACATGCTTTGATTTTACATATTATGTTGTAGTATCTAACAATTTTTTTTTCAGGCACAAGTACATTCTTTTCCTGGAAATTGTATCATATATTACATCAAGATGTTATGTGTTTTTGTAGAGACAAAACTGTAAAAACATTGAAATTATGTTGTTTTTATCTAAGTATGCTGCAATAGTGCGAGTTTACTAGTTAA